TAAACAAACAACAAAAGTAACACACACTAATAATAACTGTTACAACGGTGATTTATTTTGTTACTATCTCGCGGCTGCGCCAAAACAGGTTGTCAATTCAACACGTTGTCAGGTTTGTGGGACCTGACGCTGATTTTCAATTGACACCTGTGGTTCTCTTGACAACTGATTATCGGGAAAAAAAGAAATATAAGAGTAAAAAAAAAATAAAAAAATCAGAAACACACTCGTAAAATTATTTAGAAACATAAATAATTAATACAAATTATCATTTACATCACATTCAATATTATCATACATAAATTAGATACGTGTAATATAGTAAGTAATTATAGACCCATATCTATTCTGTCAACGTTTGCGAAGGTCTTCGAGTCTCTCATTTGTCCTTTACTGCAGAATCGGTCAACACGGTTTTGTTAAGAGTCGATCTACTGCTACAAATTTAGCGCTTTTTACTGAAACCTTGGTCGAGGCTTTAGATGCTGGCAAGGAGGTAGATGTGATTTACACTGATTTTAGCAAGGCGTTTGATAGGGTATCACATGAGGTACTTTTAGCTAAACTAAGACCTACGGAGTGGCTGGTTCTCTTCTTGAATGGTTTAAATCTTATTTGAGTGACAGAGTTTTCTATGTCGTTGTGAATGGCTTCTGTTCAGCAACTTTTAACATAACTTCCGGCGTTCCGCAGGGCTCGCATTTGGGACCGGTTATGTTAAATTTTTTTATCAATGATGTCCCTACATGTTTTAAATATTCCACGACTTTCATGTACGCCGATGATTTGAAGCTGGTGTCTGATTGTAAAACGCCAGAGAAAATGAAAATGATACAGTCTGATATAGACTGACCCTGACTGGAGTCACTGCAACAGCTTGAATCTTAATGTGAGTAAGTGCTTTCATATGAAGTTGACGAGAAAAAACAATTCTCTGGATACTGAATATACCATAGGTTCGGCCAAGATACAGAAGACTAATGAAGTCAAAGACTTAGGAGTAATTTTTGATAAAAAACTTACATTTATTCCTCATATAGAGAATATATTGAAGAGAGCAAATCGAATGTTGGGTTTTGTTAATAGGAACGCGAAAGAGTTCAGGAACGCGCGGACTAAAATTCTGCTGTACAATGGACTCGTTCGCAGTTTGACTGAGTACTGTAGTGGAGACCACACTATGCTGCTCATTCTTTAAAGATAGAGAGAGTACAAAAGAAATTTCTGTCTTAACTATCGTATAGCAACCGCATTTCGAGAACAGTTCGATCCTATGAAAAAAGATTGCGTTTCTTCGGCATCATTTCTCTTGACAACCGCCGAAAACTGTTACACCTTTGTTTTGTTTTTAAATTATTCAATAGAGAAATTGATTGTCCTCCTTTTATCGGAAAATTCGGATTTCGGGTTCCTCGTAGATATCCCCTATCTTCTATTATCCCTTTATGTCCTCCACATAGAAAAACAAAATTAGGCGCGAATTCACCGGTACCAAGATTATGCAGGCTTCTTAATGAACATAGCAACGTTATTGATCTTCATTGTGACTCATTTGCCAGGTTCAGATCTTTGCTGATGAAAAAATGGAAGTAGTGCAACTATTAGATGTATTGTTTTGAGGTCTTTTATATGCTGTATCTGTACTTGTTATTGTAAATAATAGATATAGTCGTTAATTTATAAGTCCATTTAATCAACATTTAATGTTTCTCATGCATGTGGTGTTTTCCTATAAATGTTTGTTACACTCATTTAATTACTCAGACAAATGTTGGAAGACCTTTTAAATAAATAAAAAAAAATCAAATTAGCCCGCTTTTATTAAGGCAACTTAGCGATCGTAGCGCCTCACTTATTTTGTCCATATTTCTGGGACACTATTTTCTACAGCGATCGTTATCCTTATCAAACCTCCATGGTAAGAGTAGTCTCTTTCATTTTGCTGTTGCTCTGTACATCCAACAAGTCTTAAACCGCGAAACTGATCCGGATTTTTATAATGGATGGTGCTTAAAAGTAATGTACATAAATCCGAAAAGATAAACTTTAGTCTTACTTAAATCGAACGGGTCAGTAGTATTTAACTAATAAAAATACGATACCTTATCGGTGAATGTCGAGAAAGTTTAGTAGGTACTTGCTGAAACTGTATTACTCTATTTGGCAAACTTGCCCATATTGTTTCCAGAATGTCGAACTATGACTTAAAAACATACAATATCAAATGTGGCTCCATTGAGGTGTTGTTATGAAAAGGATGTTTAATCTGATATAGTAATAGGTATAAAGCCCACACTGTTGTATTTTAATGCTTTACCAGTCAAGTAAGAAATAACAAGACATGTATGGAGATGGAGATAACACAGCGGATTTTCTGCAGCGTAACTTGCAACCAATTTGCAGTTGGTAGCTACCGAATTGCGAGAAAACTTAACAAAATACACCAACACCACACACACTTCCGAAAATGTTTTGAAGCATGATACAAGACAGGTAAGGTAAAGGCAAGAGCGGTGGTAGAGCATAGCGGATTTTCCACTTGAATTGGAGCGCCGCTCTGGAGAAGTAACCTTCACATTACAGATAACAGTAAAATAAGACTACCTTTTGGTGGTGTTGTGTTTCTGTCGTCGAGTTCCGGAGGGCACCACCTGATAGGGGATTGGGTCGGGATAGGCAAAGATGCAAGTGAAATTTTTGGTATCGTAAGCGTATAAAGGCTATGGTGGCCGCTTACCATCATACGAGCCCTGCGCTTGTTTGCCACTATGTTAAAAATAACATGAAAAAAGTTTTGAAGCAGGATCAGTGACGCGATCGCGTTGCGGTTCAAGTTGTTATTGCTTACATAATGTTATTGATTACATAATGGGAAGAGCTTAATGGCGCAGTGATTAACGAATTCGTTGTCCTTGTGGATGTTAGGCAACGTAATAGCCGGTTATATAATGGATCACCATGAATGTACGAGCTCCGCCGTGTTTCGGAAGGCACGATGAGCCGTTGGTCCCGGCTGCAAATATTAACACCGAACAATCCTCATTAAGCCCACTAGGTGGGTCATGGCCTGGCGGTGGAGAGTTCTTTTTTTATGCTTAATAGGCAAGGCGTTTGACCACAATCTCGCCTGATGGAAAGCGATGATGAGGCCTAGGATGGTACACGCCTACCTAGAATATGCCTGTTCACTCTGGCCTTGAAGATGTCCAGATTATATTAGTCCGGGAAAACAGACCACGACACGGAGTTTCACTCCCTCCGCGAGGAACAAGTCCACGCAAACTCTCTTCGACGCAGGAGGGGGAGAACTCGGATTGCGGTCCGTGAGACTAGTCAAGTGACGCTGTGAACGGAGAAGCCCAGGATAATCTAAGGCGGGTGCGGACTGGGCTGCAGATGGGAGACAGGGTGGTTTGGCGTATGCCACGCTTGCGTGAGTGCACGTCAAAGTATAATTGCACCGATTAGCGGCCCTCGGGCTGCTCGCCGCTTACCGAATGCACCACGCAATTATCTGCGTCGCGAGGGTTTGTTAACAGCAAACTAACGCTGTGTTGGACATTGTCATGGATATAGCAAATTTTTTCACTTCGTCATCGAAAAAATTGTGGGTCTTGGCCAATTCTGCTTATTCCAACCAGGGGGAACATTGGATTTTTTTGTGATACCGTATTTCGGCAACTGCTTAAGGCTCTAAGTAAGATTCATTAGTGGTGATTACAAGACTCCTCGTTGAAATAAGTAGCGTTTTGAGCTCATTCGGCACCATCAAAGTTAAGGCGCACACAGAAAGGTCGTAAGAGGCCGACATTGTCAGTATCATACAAAAAAAACATACAATCAAATTGAGAACCTACTTCTTTTTGAAGTCGGTTGAATATGAAGAAGCGTCTAGTACATGCCCTATCTTTCTATTTGATGTTTTTCGACGCGACGCTCCAAGTTTTGTGTGAAAAGGACGCGAAAGAGAAAATATTATTATGTCCGCGCCCCGTCTGTACCTTACGTCTTGTCTGTTTGCCCCGCGCCTGAGAATGACATTTTATCATACTATACAACTTAAATTATTCTACCCTACAACGGTTTCAGAAAATACTTTATCGCAGACATTGTTTTATTTCTATTTCATGATGGATGTGGAAAGAAACATACGTTATCAAATATACAAGTCCCTAAAGCCAATTACTTTAACGTAACTCCGCATTGATTGGCATAAATTCTAGGAAATTGGAAAGGAAACGAAGAATTTAGGAGCAAAACACAAAAAAAAACATCAATATAGAACGTGTTATATTCTATACTGTTTTTGTACGATAATATGAAATAACAAAATACCTCCTAAACAATAGGGAATTTAATAATCGTGTGCATGCTAACACAACTCACAGACGGAAATGTAGTGATGTTTGATATTTTCACGACTAGTAGGTAATTATTTCGTGATAATAATGCCACTTAGCTAACTAGCGAGGAAAAAATCATTATTGTGCGTACTACAAACAACAACACACAATCGACTTGGATTAAAATATTAATCGTTTTAGCCTGTACTGCAGTTTTATTTTCCATAAAAAAAAATAGTTTCAACAGAAAATCCGTCGAAAAAGATAAAGGCAACTTATTTGTACAGAAAAAGTTAGTTATTATGTATATAAAAAAAATAATATATAAACTGTACACATAAACACCTGTTTAAAGATACCTATCTATAGTTTTAATATAATATGTATTACTTATTTAAAGTTTTTTTTTATTTAATAAAAATGTTGGAGATGTATTATTGTACTACTTACTGTAGTTCATAATTCAGAGTATAATTCTTAGTCATTCGTTAGACGAAACAAATTAATCATAATTTCAAGGAAACAATAACAAAGGGAATCTATTAATAACCAATAACATTCGCATTCTTAAATTCACGTTTTAGAGATAAGAAGGTAAACTATACTCTGCTGTGTCCAATTCCTATCATTACTATTTATTATAATATATGAGCTTACCTTAAATTGTATTTAATAGATGAGCAAACTGTCCTCATCAATGTAACAATGTGTTAAATTGATCGCATTACATTACTATCGAGGCACCACACACCACATTTTTATGAAGAAAAAACTTTTGGAACACACAAACTTTTTTGTACAACTTTCGAGAGCGCTCAAAGTTTACAAAACTTTTTTAAACTTCCTTTCTTGTAAGCTTTTGTAATATTTCACTTATTACAGTTTTTCACAATCACAGGCAGATTTCCAATGACGTTCATATTTATAAATTATTGCCGGCCAACTTAACTCGGGCACACTTCGCAACAGTATATTCGTAAACAGCGCTGTTTCGACGCTTCGTACAGTAAACGTTTGTGGAGCGCAGCGGACGAGGGATTGCCACTGACTGCCGTAGATTCTCAAAGATGCTACTCGCCAGGCCAGTCACTTGCACTTTTCAATGCGCGCGCTTACTTTTGTAGAGAACAGTCTAATAGAATAACCAAACACGGTTTTTGGTGCGCTTTCTTCGCGTGTACTTGGTTGGTATAACACAAAATAGATAGTGTGAAATGTGGAGTTCAGATTTGAAGAAATAAAAAGATGCCGGCGCTTGTTATTAGGCTGTTTCCCGCGCCGGTGCCAAATAAACTTTGTTCACGAGCACAGTTTGTACTCTTCCCAAATCAGCGCTAGCACCGGTGTCGTTAGCTATTCTCCATAGTGTCCTATACCTAACTGACAACTGGATGTAGACACAGTGTAAAACCTTGCCTAGACCCGTGTAGAAACGGTCTCGTTAACACCCTTAATATCGTTACCCTGCAGAGTTTCACTCTCACACACACATATCAGGAAAACTGCAAAATAATGTTGAATAGTTATCAACATTCGCAAATGTAATTTATAGTCAAAATCTGCCCTTAAAGGAATCCGATATAAACTGTATAAAAACGGATTTTGCCCCAAACCCTTGAAATGTTTAATGAGCAATTAGTTTTGTATCTCGATGTATTTCAAACTGAACGATAACTGCAATATTTAGAAAACATGTTTACTTGATAAAACAAATTTTCGCGAAAATCCTAGGGGTTTTGCAAACACGCGGATAATTAAACAAGGCGCTGACATTGCTCAATCTTACTGTTACCATTTTTTTTCTGGCGCTTCGTTGGTCGCTACCGCGGCACAAGCGGACCCAAGAACTCACAAACCCAAGAATATTTATAATAAGCCAATTTTTTATTTTTTGCAATCTTACTTAGGCGACTCGCATTTTCGCAAAAATACCATCTTTTATCAGTAAGATAAGAGAAATGTCATGTCAGTTTTCGCAAAATCTCTAGAAGTATCGCAAAAATTCGATTTAACAAAAAGAAAAACAGCTGTACCGCGCCCTAGGTATTTGCGCGATGAGATGGGGCAAAGTATAATATGGAAGAAAGTAGATAATTCAATTAATTATTTAGTTGTAATTATTGATTTAATAACCTATCCTATTTTAATATGTAGGTACGACTGGCGTGTTAACAAAACATATTTAAATAGGGATTTTTTATAATTTTAGGCTTGACACGCCTGTCGTGTTTTATTAAAACTGATAAATAATAATAGTGTATTTCGGAAAATAAAAAAAAAACTTATCTTAAGATCTGTCCGGCAATATTGATCTCATGGGAACTCGTGCTCTTTCTTACCCGTTCCCCGCCTCGCGCACATACCTAGGGCGCGATACAGCGGTTGTGGTCAGGCTATAGTAATCATACTCGTACGAACGAAAGCGAAGTTTGATAGTCCCAGTTACCTCAGTGACATAACAGTATACCATTACAACAAGTAATTGAGTCACTTTTATGCACTTGGCCTAGTTGATTGGCGAACTGACAACGCCAAACAAGTTACGCATTAGTGTATCTTATCATGAATACAATTTTCTGTCGGTAATAGGTATAAGGCAAAGGCTGCTTTGTTATTTAAATAAAGCGATTATACTGGAAGATAAAACAACGTTTTTAGCATGTAATATCGTTGCTCTATAACGATATGATTCTCCTCTACCGCGAGCATTAGCTTATAATCCAATCCAATAATTTAGGTAGATACTTTTTGAAGTGAAAACTTTTTTAGCGGCGTGGCGTTGTACACTTTTTTTTGTATGGGTAAAAATTGTTAAACTCGCTTCAGGTTAAACACGGGCTGATCGCATCATGACACACGATAAAATTGGAAAGGTTGTTGACTTTCAATATATTGGACGAAACAAAGTAATATTTTATTTTACCGTATTATAATAATAATTCTCTATCTAGGACGTCCACCTGGCAGCTTTATTTGCATTTTATGCATTTTATTTTACAATAAATGTCGCTAGGTGCGCTTAAATGTGATTCATGTAAGTTGATTTCTTAAAAATAGATGTCGCTAAGTGCGCTTAAACGTGATTCATGTAAGTTGATTTTTCTGGGAGATAAACTTTTTTAATGATATATAAATTGTCATGTTTGTGTACGATAGCGCAATAAATAAATATCGTATTCTACCACATACATGATAGTTCTTTTATACTGATAATTAAAGCAATTCGCCCAAAATTATTCCCTAACCATTCGAAAATATCAAAAATGCACAACGTTAATATTCAAGTTTTCACTTCTGCCGGCACTCCCGGAGTGCAACCCGTCGTTTTGTTTTTTATTCAAGAGAGACTGGGCATAGCCAATTTCCGTACTTAAATTGAAGCGCCCATCTGGGAAAGTAACACCTACCTTACAGAAGATCACAGTGAAATAACACTAACAGAAACCCCAACACCACCAAAAGCACTATATTTTATTGAAAATACCCCGAAAGAAATATGACAGTTAATTCTTATAAGCGATTTTAAAATGTATCTTCAAAATTGTCGAAGTTTCATACAAACATATCCTTTATTTTAACCCCTTATAGTGGAGAATTTTGGATAGCCTTTCATATTAAACACCTGAGAACCTACTTCATAACAATGCGCGCTAAATTTCAGTGTAATCTGTTCAGTGGTTTGAGCTGTGTGTTGATAGATAAGTCAGTAATGGTTGCCGATACCGATTGTAATAAGCATGGATCTAATTTATTATTGGTTTGGATTCGAAAATTATGATAAACTAAATATTTTTAATTAGCTCATCGCATTTTCCCCAATTTCTCTATATGTAGACATAACTTACATTGTGTACGTTAAGTGGATCACTTATGGGGAATTTAAATATTTCACCAACCATACCTAAGAAACAAATATTTCACCATAGCTGCAGTAACAGCCTAAACCTTTTTTTGTATTAAGGGATTACTTTATAGGTACGCTCAACAATTTTGTTATTGTAGCTTAAACCATTCAAGGCAACTCGGTGTAAAATATATCTACTTATTTTTAAATATCGTAAAACCAGATTGTGTTTCAATTCCTTGATTCGAATTGCTGGTTCTAGACCGGTTCGAAGAAAGTTATCCGCGCAAATAAACGATCAAATTCCATGTCACTTTTACAACTTAATATTATTACTGAAATATACATTCCCAGTGTTTAACGTTTCGAAATCATCGCTTTAACAATAAATAACAAAGTAGTTTCTCCAGTAAAAAACTTGAATTAGCCAAGTGTAATAAAATGTTAACATTTATTTCAAAACAAAAATGACAAGAATTTATCATCAGAATGTAATCGGATCATTTCTTTCTCAAAAAAGGTAAATCAAATAACAATATCCAAATGATTTATCGGTAGAAAACATGCGAATATCGATCGAATCATGTTTATTTTTACTTATACGTGGCCTAAAAAAATACAATGCAAATAAGAAAAAAAATTAAATTCAAAACAAACATTCCGATATAGCTGGTGAAATTGTCAGGATCTACATAATGCACGCACATAATATATATCACTTAGTCTATGCCATACATCTAATAAAGAGGTAATTTAAATGGCAGCTATCTTTGCATCTTGGCTACCCTGTTACCTTTGTATACTAGGCGCAGCAAATTACCCCATCACACAGGTTGAGTGTGAGTGGCTAGTGCATTGCAAGGTTCCTGTGATGTGTAATGCCCCTGATGCTTTCGAGGAACTGCAAGTCGGGGTGGGTCCGTCAACCGACAATCACCAGCGTGGCCACGGAGTACTTCGTTCCTACGTTTTTAGCCCGCACTCCTGACACGTATAGTAGGACCTCAGAATGCGTGCCGGGAGACAGGCGCAGAAGTATTTTCTGGTTTTTACTGAGTAGAGCCCTGGGGTCCAATCGCCTAACGGAAATGCTTTGGGAAACGCTCACGCTTACGATTTTATATTGTTATTTCTAGCCGCCTGAGGTTTTAGAATACCTCATGCTCATTTTTTTTAATATTGTTATGACCAATGCAAAAGAAAAAGAAAGAGCGCGAGGCATTTGAATACCTCAGGCGGCTAGAAATAACAAAATAAAATCGTAAGCGTTAGCGTTTTCCAAAGCATTTCCGTTAGGCGATTGGCCCCCTGTTCATTGCATTGAAATGAGTAGGGAGAAATCCATAGATATTCTCGCTGCACGCTCCCGGTGGCAATGGATTTTCATAAATGAACAAAAAAAATGTTAAGAGTCCTAGTGCAGAAATGCGAAACTGGTGTGGCGGAAAAATATACCGCTCTAGGCATCCCCTGCTGAATTTATTTAGAAGCTTTAAAATAGACCTGGCAATATGGAAGTCTAGAACACGACTTCCCTGCCAAAAAAATCTGTAAAATCAAACAAGTAAAAAAAAGTTGTACAGTCAAAGATGTGTTTCTAAATATACGAAAAGTTTGCACACAGTTCGAAAACAGGTCCCGACTTCTAAAGAACAATCGAATCACTTATTCGTTGATATCCCGATCAAGGAAGGTGAATTTACTTATTTTTAAATTGATTAAAGTTTGTTTTCATTCAAGATTGTTATTTAGTATTTACTGTTAGTCGTGCATGAGGTCGAATCGATAAATGCGACGATATTGAGAGAAACCTACGCACCGTAGATTCTCTAACGAGCAGTTTCAATAATCAACCTCCAGTAAAAGGTAAGGGATAATCTGGTTCTGTTCCTTAGCAACAGATGTTATTAAAGTCGTAATAATTAAAATTCCTTTTGTATACATTGTTCGAAAGCTCAAAATTACGGGCTATACAAGGAAGCGTGCGGTCGAAGCTCCTTGGAAGCGCTTTAAATCTATACATTTGTCATTTCATTTTAATACGTGATTTAGTTCTAATTTTCATCACCCGCACATGGCGCCATTTGGAAATGCGCGTCATTTTTTTATTAATAAACAGATTGCATCATCACATTAATGAGGTAAAGGTACTGTTTTCACGCTAAATGTGTTGAAAAACGTTGTATGACATTCGTACGG